GAGCCTCAGGCCTCCAGTGTGTGTGTGTGTGTGTGTGTGTGTGTGTGTGTGTGTATATATATATGTATATATATATAAAACCTTTGCTACTTAAGCAAATATAGAAAAAACGATTTCCTTTTCTTTTCCTTACTTTTAGAAATAGGCTTATTTTTCCAATGGAAAATATACTCACTTTGTTAAGAAGTATAATAGAGATAATATGACCTTGACAACTCTTAGGAGTCTGGAGAAAGGGTGGTTATGTATGTGGGGAGATAAGAGGTCCTGGGGTTTGTTCCCAGGACTATAGTAACTTCCGGGCCTTTAAAAGCTTTAGTGTAAAAGTACCATTTTTTTTTTCTTTACAAGGAGAGTGCTCTTTCCTTCACCCCACTGTTGCCGCTTCTGCAGCTTATTCAAGGGTATTTCTGTAGCTCTAGCCTTTTAGGATAAATACTTGGGGAGTTTAAATAATTATTTCCCATATTTTTTCTCTTTTTGAGTAGATTAACAATATGAAATTTTGTATATAGTAAGAAGAGATCTTAAAAACAGAAACAAAAAACCCTACAGTAAATGAATGAGTACTCACAAAAGGGTGGACTGGGACACTAGCCTTGGGATTTTATTTTACATTAACCCAGTACAGTAAATGGGTTCTGAGTGGTACAAAGTTTAAACAGTAGAGGCCAAGGATTCCTTATATTCATAAAATGTATATAAGTACATTTGTACTTATGTATGAAGTATAATGTATGAAGTATAAACTAAGTCCTTTAAAGATAAGAAAGCAAGTAAAAAACATTAATCAGGAACCAAGTTTCATTACAGAGACAAAACTTCTACTACCTAAGAGTTTCTAGTGGCTGATGTCTTGAGAGGGAGAGCAGGAAGGTCCCCAAGAATAAGAATTCTTGGCAGCTGCTGGGAAATTCCTGTAATCCCTATTATGAGGTCAGCCTGTTACAAGTAGCTGGGGCCCCTAGTAAAGTGAAATATGCCCTATCTTTAAACAAATTAAACTAAACAGCAAAGACACAAAACAACAATTAACAGAGACTCTATGAACAACATTTATAGGCGTGCACAACCTACAGATAAGACTTAATAAACCAGAGTCTTTTCCATGGATTTTTTAGAAGATGTCTTTTAGTGCCCGGGACTTATAGCTAGAATGTGGCTCAGCGGGCTCCCGGGTGGGGTGGCCAGTGAGCACCCATAAACAGTTTGTTGTTCACAGATCTTATTATATTCTGCTTTCCATAACAGATATTGACTGGCATCTAGAATTGTTTTGGCTAAAATCTGCCAGTCCCAAGGAGTCATGTGATAATTTTCAGACAAGGCATTAAGGAGTCCTTTTGTAAATGAACTGTTAGTCTCATTTTCTCTAACACTTCTCCTTATTTCTTTAAAGGTAAAAAAGAGCAGCTCATAAACTTTATTATCTTGTTAATTTTGTATATCTGGGCAAGTTAAAAGCTCTCCTTCTAACAGGGCTTGCCTGACATAGGACCCCATAACTGAGGACCTAGTTGATGAGCTCTCCCACATCAGAGGCCGAGGATCGGGAAATATTTCCTCCAGCAGCGGGGCTTTAGGTATTACAGGCTCTGCAGGCTCTGCTTCAGGAGGAGGGGGCAGTAGTAAGTCCTCCTGTTGCTCTGTAGGCTTTTGATCTTCAATATGAAGTGGGCATAATGCAGCTCGAACAAGAGCCCACATAGTTAATGATAAGGACACTCGTTTTCCCTGGGCCTGATTTCTTTTTAAATTCCTACCCACCTGTTCCCAGAGGATTAAGTCTAATGTTCCAGCATCAGGGAACCGAGGATTATACATCAAAACAATTTTTAATAAGCTTTTTAGTTGTTATTCTGAAACAGAGGCACCACCTGCTTTTAATAACTGTTTCAGCAATGTGATAGATTGCTGCTGTTCTGTGAACAACTGTTGTCCCATTATGAAACCTTAGCTGAGAAAGAATTCCCTCAAACTTGGAAATCCCAAGCGGGCTCCAATGACTTACTGCACAGTTACTTCCATTTTCTTTCTCTTTGTTTTCGAGGGTTTCGCTGCTTTTGTTGCATTCCTGACCTCTTCACACAGGGGGCACCAGCTGCTGGGGCTGACCAGCAGACCCTGAGCGACGGATGAAGAGATTGCTCTGACACAGGTTTCTGTGAAAGAGAGGCTAATGGACTGTTTTTACTTTAGGAACAAATAGCCCTGATTGCCTGCCTCATTGGCTTTTTATTGTAATAACAGTTTGAACGAAAATTAACCTCTAGATACAATCAATAGGATAAGTATCCTTAAGAAAGTATATGCTTCTACAAGGTTGGGTCTTCAAAGACTAAACATAGAGATTCTAGCAAAACACCTGGGGGATCAGACTCGTTTGGAAAAGTCAAAGTAGGGGCTACCACCTTCGGCAAGGTCCCCTCAGAGACCCCCGACCTTTAGGAGAAGCCTCCTTATAGACATTCCAAGTAAGTCCCATGCTTCCCCACAATACAGTTTTGGGGGGCACCCTGTGTATGCTTGCAAAAGAAGACAAAGGAAAATATACTGAAATGCTCATTGTGGTTAGACCTCATTCTAGTATAGTAATTTTCCTTCTTTATATTTATTTTTCACGTTTTCTATTAAATATATAAATATGTGAAAGTGTGTTACTTTCATAATAAGTATAATTTCAAGATTTAGCTGCCTCATATAAGAAAACTTGGTCCTCGACGTTGTGCATTCTTATGAGTTTTTCTATAAAAGCGGTGCCAATGCCACATGTTCTTTAAGTCATTGGATGTGAGACAACTTTTCACTGTTCTCTTTAGGAAAAGAGTTAAAACACACTGAAAAAGAACCTGCAGCATTCAGTACGTATAATAATTGCCATCAAAGTTTTTCCAATTAAATATTTGCTAAACAGAGTCCTGTGTTAGTTCCTGGCTAGGTGCATCTTGCTGATCTGTGTTGGGGCTGGACATCTTTAGGGCAGCATGTAGGTCAGACATGGGAACCCTGGATCTCTGGAGTCAGAAATGAAAGTATGGTCACCTTTGGTCCATACTTTGAGAAGCTAGGAATCTTCCTCAATAGTGAAATTTGAAATGGGTCAAACTAAATTATCACCAGGGATAATTTTTCTAGTGCCTTCCCCTGACAATACTTTTATTCCAAAATGGGGAAGATGACTGGGTTCCCATCCGAAGTCTACTGCCACACTTAGAAATGTCTAAAGTCTTACCGACATTTCCTAAAACATTATGACTTGTCCACACTTACACAGGAATTTCTGACAATATCGATCTTAGCATATTTTAACCTTTTTCACCAAATCCTTAGTATATGGACTGAAGAGGCATACTTTTAACCTGAGGAGGGTGTGTGTGTGGGGTAAGGGGGGGTGGAGAGCAGAATTCACACGAATGAAGAAGATGGGATGGACCATCTATAAATCCACCCTATAAAATGGATTTCCTTGCCCTAACTGGTTTGGCTCAGTGGATAAAGCGTCGGCCTGCGGACTCAAGGGTCCCAGGTTCAATTCTGGCCAGGGGCATGTACCTTAGTTGTGGGCACATACCTAGTGGGCAGTGTGCAGGAGGCAGCTGATCGATGTTTCTCTCTCATCGATGTTTCTAACTCTCTATCCCTCTCCCTTTCTCTCTGTAAAAATATCAATAAAATATATTTTTAAAAAAAATGGATTTCCTTTAACTCGCTGAAGAAACATCCCTCACCTACAAGTCAATACTACATTTTTTACAAAACACTCTGATCTAAAATAAATTCCATTTGATTCTTCTAACCACAGGCAGGTAGAGGATAAATGTCATTCCCTTCAGTTTACAGATGAGGACACTGAATATGGAAAGCAGTTAAAAAGCCCCTCCTCAAGATTAGCTTTCCCCTTTCCCACAGCACCTTCACCTAAATATTACTATGGTAGCCTTCTGTCTGCCCTTGTAGCAGAGCAACCTATTCTACCTAAAGAAACCTCTGACACTGGGAGATGACACTACCACATCTTCTTGTTTACTTTTTCTTCCAAATACTAGATATGCCAAAACTAAGAAGGGAAGGTGGTACAGGATGAGAGGAATTATACTAGGAGA